CGGGGCATCCCCGCTCACTCCTAACAGGATTTGACAGCTTCAGCCAAACCTATGAGTGCAGGGAGAGCCACTACAGATGGGCACAGTGTTAGATCGAATGAGAACTCAGATAAGTTTAAAAAATACATAAGCTATACATTTCTATTTACTATTGCTAGCAGCATAAGGATTTAAAAATAGTCCGTGTTGACTGAGAGGGGTGAAGTTCCGCTTTAAGGTTAAAAAAATGTTTATGCTGTAAACCACTTTTAAAAAACCGTGTGAGAATATGACACTTTACTGAAATATTAGGAAAACTCCGGTTATGGCTTAAGATAAGTCGGTTAAATTCAGAATTGATAGTGAAGAAGTAGTAAAACGCTTCTGACTCCTTAGATCTATTAACAATAATCCAAAAAGGATCCAAAAGTCACATATGGTGAAGATTGGCTCTTGGAATAGCAAGGATAAAAGACCTGAAAAAGATCTTCAAATGTACTGACGTGTCTACAAGTACAAAGATCAGAATTGTCCAGACTGTTGTATTTTTTGTCGCTCTGTATGGATGTACTGTATGTGGTGATAAATGAAGAATCAAGATGGAAAAGGCATTGACGTGTGGTGTTTGAAGATTTCAAAGAATATGATGGACAGAAAGAAAAACAAACAAATGGATACTTCGGCAAATCATGTCCAATCTTTCATTTGAAGCCCAGATGATGAAACTGAAGCGTCTTATTTTTAGCACATAATGAGACGAGACAACTCTGTGAAAAAATTAGTTCTGCTTTGAAATGATGCTCATTGGACAAAATTAAATTCACTCCTCTAGAACGGTCTATTATGCAACCCAATAAGAATGAATGGGTTTTGTCCATGCATGTGCAGGAGACTTCAGGAGAGGCAGGGAGAGTTTCCAGCTGTGGCTCTGTGTCTGCCTGTGGACCACACAGCATAGATTTGCTAGGCATGTGGACAGGGGATTGTAAAAGCTTGGGGGGCATTTAAGCAGCATTTATTTACAACACTGGGCAAGGGGGGAGTGTTGGATTGTTGTTCTCCTGCATTGTCACCTTGTCAAATGAGTCTCCACCTGAGACTACAAGTGGCTGTGCTGACACATGTTGTGCTGGCAGGGACCATCATTGTCACTATCTGAAAACCAGTCCCTAGCAATGATGTGTAGTCAATGCTGGAGCGATTATCTGTATAAACAGGGAACGTTTGAAAAAGACTGAAGTAGACCAGCAGCACTGAGATGATGAAAAGGCTGAAAGCTAAAAACGGCATGTTATAAAGAATAAAAAATGTTTAACACACAGGGCTATAATAAACTAAATAGCATACAATCAAGGTTTTGATCTACTATCTGTAAAACAAATGAAAGTCTTATATTTGTAACGCCCTCTAGGTTTCCCAGATAGGCTGGGTTTAAGTTTTTTAGGCAGAGGCTGAATAGCAGCCTGGGAGTGAGGTAGAGAGGTTACCTCAGGACAGACTGGGAAGGTTCTGAAGGTCAGAGCTTCTGGAGCCCTCCCATCTCTCCAGAAATCTGAGGGTTTTCTGGAGGAGAGACGGAGGGGGGAAGGAGGCTCAGCTCTGCATACTTGAGGGACCCTGGATAATCCCCTGGCAGGAGGCTGGGCATAGTGACCAAAGCAACCCTTAAGATTCACAGAGCCTGGGAGCAGAGTTGGTGAGTGTCGGGTGGGAAGATGGAGTGAAGGCTGGAGTGTGGAGCCTGGGAGGGGCCCAGGGAAGGGGCCTACCTACAGGCAGGTGGTGGAAAAGGTAATCTGCACTGTACCACCATCTTTTAAAAGGGACATCCTGAGCAGCAGGGAAGGAGCCAGCCCAGCGGAAGGCCGCCACCAACCCAGCAAGCTGACAGGAAGGACAGTGTGAGTACCCTTACACCCCCTGGGCTGGATAAGGGGAGAGGGCAGTTGGGTGGAAAACCCAGCTAGCTTCTCATCAGGGACTGTTCTATATTGGCAGCTTCTGGGTCCCCTTGTCCAGGCAGTACCCTCAGTACAGCTGGGTGAAGAGGAGGATTCATCTTGGGTCTGAGGAAGTACACTAGAGTGCTTTTGAATGCTCTCAAGTAGAGGAGAGACTATTTACATCCACATTTTTGTACATACTGTAGTTGCTCTAAGTTGTCCTCAAGTTTGCGATTTTCCTTGGGCATCCCATATACCCCTCAACCCCATCAAAGTTCTTAAACCCCTTAATAAAATCACAAAACCAAGCTCAAGGACTGTTTACTGTGTCCAGTAGGGGGACCCAAAACTCAGCAACTCCTTAGGGGGTAGTGCTACATACTTATTTACTACAGGTACTTATATAGTGCCGTCAGTTTACGTTGTGCTTTACAAATACGCTATATTGCCAAACGTGCAGGTAGTGCCGTGGTTGGGATTCATACCGCCGCCAGGCGGAAGTGCTAGCCACTTAGATGGTTAGCTCTGAAAATGGTATGATAGCAATAATGTTAAATTATTTCTATCTTGGGGCAATAAAACATCACTGAAAGCCTATTGTGCATGTTTAGGCACCAGACATGAATTGGAGAGTGCCACATAATGTATACTGATGGTATAGCTGGTAGATGATTCATATAAAGTTTCAAAACCATATGTGTAGAACAATAAAAACTAAAACTCCATGTTTAACTGCTGCTGAGACAGAATAATCTAGAGTTCAGTCCTGTTGTCACTTATTGGTGGACAACCTGACAGATTTTGCAGGCCAGATAGGGCTTTATGAGAATAAAAAATGAACAGCAGCATGTATTGGCCTTGTCTCCTAAATACAGAGCCAGCAGTAACATCCACTATACAATTAATGGAGATTATGCTATGTAATATGTATAATTAATGGCTTAAGAACAACAGTAATGATATATAAAATACACAATACTTCTATTACTCGTGTGTTTCTCATAGAAACTAGTGTTTGCAAACTGAAAAAAAAAAATGTTTTTTAATTTCGGGTTTATTAGGAAATGACCCCTTCATTTGCGTGCTTGAAGGGTTCATTTCCTGAACATTATTCTACTAGGAATCTGCTGCTTCTCCTGCATGCAGACCCTGTGAATGAAATGGGTTGCCACTGGTTTCCTTGATGTATTCCTTGATGAAAATTTAGATGGCAAACTCAGCACAGGCTTTGCTGGGTTTTTTTTTTCCACCGAAAATAATTGTACATTTGTTTTTTTCAATTTACAGCATGGTAATCTAGCTTCATGTGTGGTATATCTGTTAAATAGTACTATTTTTTTCATTTTATTCTTTTAAGTTTAATTTTGGAATCCACATAGAATAATGGAAGGGCAAAGTTTTGAAATTTAATTTCCTGTTTAAAAAGTTTCTTTGCCATTTGTCTCAGCTTGGAAATTTGCCAACATTTGAACTGGTCTTACCTGTTTGTGCTGCGTTTCTCAGTTAGGAGTGAAACTCGTAAATGTCTTTGTAGGAGGAAAAAAATAAGAGGCATGTATAAATCTGTGAAGGTGACTTCCACCAAACATTCACTATTGCTTGATCAGTCACTGTCATTTTTGAACACATGCACAAGGAAGATTCACCTGCAGTGAATGTCATATTAATTGCTTTATAAATGTGCTCAATAGTGACTGACTGACTTATTTTGTATGGGTTTAAGTGAACCTGTTAATTTTCAAGTCTGTTTGAATAAATTCCTTACATACAGTATATCTGTTTTATAAAGTCGTGATTATGACATTTGCCAAACATTTACCAGTAGGTGGCTGGAGAGTCCATAAAGTCTGAGGCCTGAGACATCAGAGGAGAGTTCCTGGGTCCAGTCCTGCTAGAGGAGACCCCTGGGGCAGGAGTGCTAGAAGATGCCACTAAGAAAACATCAAAGTCCCAGCTAAGCCTTGGCTGGGGGGGCTATTCATAAGCTTAAGTCCTGGAATCAAGTTGGGTTAGGAGAAACATACTAGAGAGAACCAGGAGGACGTTGGGTAGTGTCCAGCTGTCCTATGGAGTTGTGAGCCTGCATCTCCCTCACTGAGAAGAGCCTGGTGGATATTGAAAGGAAGCAACAGGTGATCCTGTGGCTGTGTGAGTACATGACCCCAGTGCTGGAAAGCAAGTGACTGTGTGTAGCTTTTCGTTTCTGGGAGAAGTTATAGTCACCAACAGCATTAGAGAGTCAGTGGGACATTTTTGTACCATTCAACCAGATAGTAAAGAGTCTTCAAAGTGTTCCAATAAAAACCCTAAAAAGGTACCACTAGACTGCTTAAAGTGGAAGATTGACAAAACATTCTGTGTTCCTGGCTGTGTGTGCTTTAACACTAGGAATAGGACTAGGTTCACCAGCGGCTCTTTAGGGGATGTGCAACATAAGTGTAAATTCTGCTATATAGAGGATTTCAGAAGGTGGATACCAAGGCAATTCAGGTACATATATGTACACTGGTTGTGTTTTAAAAATAGGTGATTTAATGAGTATGTAACTGGACTCAAGATTTTACAAAATGTATGTATGCCTGGAGTTCAACATTAAAGAGCAACTTCCAATGAATAAATATATCCTAGCACACCTCATAGCAGTATATGAAACAAATAAAATCTCTGGTGCTACAAAAGTCCTTAATGGTGATGCAGTCCTCACCATCCCACATAAAAGGCACATCATGAAGGAACAGCTCTGTCCAATTCGTACTGCGTGTTTGTCTGTAATGAGACTTCTGGACATCCAAATGGCTGACGCGTTTCAAGGACTAGCCTCTTCCTCAGAGCCCTGGGCATGTGTTTTTTTTTTTTTTGTTTGTTTTTTTGTATACAAGATTTTTTTCCAAGTTCATCTTTTTCCCCCCCCCGGAATTGCAATGCATGTATGCACATTGTATCAAGGTTCAAAAATGGGATGTCTTGTTAAAAACAAGCATAGATGGGCAAAGGGTCTTGGAGGAGTAATTGTAGATGGACTGAGAAAAATGACCTCTAGTCTAAAGAATGCAAATTTTATTTCTTTATTTATTTTGTAGCCCAATGGAGACATGAGGAAACCATCCATCATCAATTCCAATCCCAATGAATCCTTTGGGGAAGAAGTAAATGCATTTTTATTTGATGAAAAAGAGCTATACTCATATGATGACCTTACCAAAGTAAATCCTGTGACCACTAAAACAGGTAAAACATTCATGTTTTATTAGTGTGGTAATACAAACTTCCAAAATGTGTAGTATGTCTGGGCAAAGTAAGAAAATAAAAAAAAAAAAAAAAACATTCAGTACATCTCTGCTATATATGCACATTTCCCTAGGTTATAGTCCTTTAAAAGACTGCAAGTACCAAAAAAAAACCCCAAAACATTTTGATCCTGCTAGTAATCCAGTGAGCGCCTATGTATCTGTAGTGAGCTAATAGCACTATCTCAGCTGCACTGAAATCCCAAGCTGTGTTGTCATTCCTGTCCAGGTCTACACAACATCACCTTCTCCCCTCACCTCTATATCAAATGCAAAAGGTGGTCTGTAGTCCAGCCTGGTGATGGCTCGGGTAGGGCTGAGGACACTTTGAAATTGTCAGTCTGTTCTCCCAGCACAGCCCATGCTGAGATGAATTGATGGATTTGATGTCATGCCTTGCGTGATCAGTCTGCAATAGGAAAACAAGGGGACTGGCAAAAACACCATGTATTCTACACAAAGGAAGAAATACAAAGAGAACAGGATACTTTTTAACACAAGTACATGGTACAACAGGCACATTTCAGGAAAATGAAAAGTTGGGGTAGCACATTCTTTAAGGGGTTATTATTACTGGAACACGCAATTCTGCATTTTTTTTTTTTTTTTTTAATCCAACAGAAAAAAGTAAGGAAAAACAAAAATGAAAAGTTAGAATATTAATGCTTTTAAAAATAGAAATAAACAGAAATCAGCAGAAAAATAATATCTAAGAGGAGAAGTGAAGTCGCACAATTTCAAAGTCTGATGATATTCTGACTTGAGGTGTGCCTTGCAAGACACAGATGTTTATGCAAGTTGCACCTAAAGTAGTGCATGCACTACTTTAGAAATTGGTACGGCGCCGACAAAGTCGGAATCGCACCGATATGACCACAGTAATTGTGGACAGTAAGGTACGACTTGTTATGCGATTTGCAAGTTGCATGGCAAATCGTATGCCAAGTTGCACCCGGTGTGACTAGGATCTTAACTGGAATCCTATGCAAATCAAAGGTCACCTTTTTGATCTGCAGTTGAATGGAAAAGAATAAATAACAATATTGGTGTCCTTTTTATGAAACTGAAATCAGCTCAGATCATTTGTGGTTTAGGAAACGGATGATCAGCGGAGAGCATGTTCTCCGCTGATCATCTCCGCACACAGAGAATCTGTCACTGATGGCCAGTGTATGAAGGAGTGATGTCAGCCCTTCACTGGCAATCTGTGAAAATTCTCCCTCCAGATTCTCCAGCCCAGAGGTGGAGAAGGAGCCGCAAGCGAAGCAGCTGTAATTTCACCACTGCTTCGTAAACTGTGTGTTTTGATTTTACTGTAATTTACAAGATTACAGTAACCGCAGCCATTTTCAACAGTTCAAGCGTTTGTAGATCGCTTCTCTTATTAGGAGAAGCGATCTACACCGCTTCATGAACAGGCATTCAGAGGAGAACTGTCTCCTCTGAGAATGCTAGAGAACCGAGCAGCTGTCATTTACCGCTGCATGATAAAAGGACACCATTGTTACTTTGTATCTCTTTAACTCACTTTTGAGCAGTGTTTTATAAACAGTATGTTTTATTAATTGTATTCTCTTCAGACAAAACACAACTAGCTACATAAAAATGGTAATCGGCCTCATGCATACTAGGGCATTTCTAATGCTGCTGTCAGCGGCATCTTGGCAGAAAAAATACTTGACATGGGTCAATGCGTGTAAATGTGTGTTAACGCTAGGCGCATTTAGCACTTGAGAATTAATTCACTTCAATGTTCAGAATAAATTATTATTCTGGACAATGAAATGAATTAACACCCAGGCTCTTGACACTCCTAAATATGTTCACAAGCATCAAGCTTTTTTTCTGCCAAAATATTGCTGCCAGAAGGAAAGGCATTTAGGCGTGATGGCCAAAGTGTCCAGTGTGCATGAGGTCTAAAATGTAAATTTGAAATGGGACAATCTGTTAAGCCTCATACACAATGAGTATATCGGACGAATGATGATTGTTTTTTTTTTTTTTTTTTTTTTTTTTGTGTGTGTGGTTTTTTTTTTTTTTTTTTTTTTTTTTTTGCATGCTAGCCTCATGTTGACGATGGAATAGGTTATTAAAGTTACAAAAATTATTTTACACAGAGTACAACTTTGGAAATTATGTATTGTATAGTAATGTAATCTTTTGTTTCCGAGCATATGTGGTCTTGGTCATCCGATTTTTGTCCCTGTTACCTGCATTCACCATAAAAATCAACAATCTATGTCCTGAACAGACAGGACACTGAACATCTCTAAACTGGGATGAAGGTGACTTCTTCTTGCTGATGGACTACTGTAATGTATAATTTTAGTTTTTAGCGACTTATGTTTTCTTACAGTATTGAAATGTCTTCAAGCAAGATATGCAGCTGAACTGTTCTATACCAATGCTGGGTGTACAGTTATTGCAGTTAACCCTTTTCAGCCAGTAAACAAATTATACAGTAATGAAGTCATGAAGCAGTATCACAGTGCTCCTCAGCCTCAGGTTATTATAAACCAAATTAATTTTATTACAGTAACTCGTTTTAAAGGACTGATTCACTCTAAAGTCTTGTTTTAGTTACAGGTGAAGTAGAGCGGGCTGAGTCTTCCTATAGCTGGCTGGCAAAGCCTTTAGCCCTAGTTCTGCACTTGTTCAAATTAAATTTTTTAAACATTTCTGTATTATTCATGTTTTGTGTTGGGATATGACCCATCTACTTTCATGGCTGCACTGCAATATGATATTCTATACAACTCTGAACTAGCGTGTAATATTATTTGGTGTTTGGAGGCTTCTGCCCTGTGATTTGCTTTATTCTCACAATTTGTAGAAAATTTCTACTTTTATTTACTGTACCCTCCCTATGCTATTACATTACACTACCCATCTCTGCTGTTACTGTGTAAAATGGGTCATCCACTGTAAAATTTCTTTTGCTCAGCCCCACCAGTTAAACATGAGAAAACACTCAATTCCCCTATCCACGCCAAACAACTTGGATGGAGAAATCCCCCCACTGCGGCTATTGTATTCTGACACCTGACAACCGCAGCTGTCAAAATACCTGAACAGTGACTGCATCTGATTAGATGCAGCATCTGTTCGACTGCCAGCAGTATCAGGTTTCACCTGTGAGCACTCCAGGTAAACTAATCCGCTAAGCCTAAAAACCTAAGCTTTTGCATTGCATCAGCTTTACAAAGAAAATAATGAAGGAATTTGGCAATTTACATATTATAAACTAGTATGCTATAAGCTGCATTTTGGATGATTGTACTGGATAAATAAGATATTACCTATTTTAATTTGTGTATTTGCTTTTTTTTGCTCCATCTGCTAGAACTATAAGCCACACATATTCTCCGTTGCCGAACAAGCCTACAGAAATGTACAGTGCCAGCTTCATCCAGTAAACCAATCTATAGTTGTCAGTGGGGAAAGCGGGGCTGGAAAGGTAAGAGCCAAACATTTGCTTTAGTGACTTAAATTAAAATAAAGTAGATACATTTTTTAATATATAGCTCATGTTTATCTGTAGCAAGAAAAATGCCTGTTAAAAGTACAGTGAGAAAAAAAAAATGTGTCATTTGAAAATTTTGGAGGTTGAATTCTCTCTCTGCAAATGATCATTTCCTGGCTGTCACCCTTGGTGCTTTTGAATCACAGATCTAGTAACAAGAATGCAGATGAGGACTTCTGACTTGTCTTTTACTTTTCTGACCCACATTGATGTTATTGGAGATTAACTTAAAAAGTATTAAAGCTAGAATTACAGCCAGCAAGCATTATCACAAGGTCTTAAATGGCATACATTGTGTTTTTCTTATGACAGGAAAAAGATTTGTCAAAACTAAATATCTTCCTGATGAAGGCTGTCAATGTCCGCATGCTAATTCCAGAGCAGTGTAACATCTGTGCAGCATTATTGTTAGCATGGTGGCTCCCTTGAAGTTGAATGTAGCTTGTAGGTCAAATAATGGCAGATTTTAAAAGGTAAGCACTTAGCTTATTTGGAGGACCACAACTCTTTCACTCCTAATGTAATGAACTGCCAATGCCAAGAACTTTTGTCCATCCCATAGAGGACTAAGGATTTTGCTAGCTGCCTGCTGAGTAGCGTACTGGGTCTAGCATGGTGCTGACTCAAGCACAAAAGTTTGAAGATCCAATAAATGGTTAGGGTGGCACAAGGTAAATGTAATGCATATAGGATATATTTACACCTATATCAGCCCCCATCGTAAAAACTTGTAATCCTTCTTTAATAACAACTATTTTTTATTTTTTACCTGTATATGACTACCTTAAAGTTGAAACTGTTTAAGTGATAAATTTTCAGTTAAATTTAATTGGCTATCTATCAAAAAATCTTTGCATCATTTTCATTAACTGATAACATAGCACTCACATTCATAATAAAATGCCTCTTATACTGTATTTGACAAGGTAGGGACAGTGTGATTTTATGCAGATTACCTTTATTTGATGCCAAATTCCATGCTATCTGAGCAGCTGTATGCCATAAATTCATAAACGGAGATATCAAGAAATTATGGTTGGCCCTTGTAATCATGTCATCTACTTTACACCTTTACACGTTAAAGGTTTAACTTTTGTCTCCTTGGTCAGATCACTGAAAGAGTTTTCAATTGGTTGCTGTGGGATAGTGTATTGTCATAGTAAATTAGGAGACAGGTGAGATTACCATTTTTCAGGGATTTTATTTTAGCTCTCTTCTCCATAATATTTTTAATCTTAAAACGGAGCTCCACCCAGTAGGTCTAGTAGGACTTTCCTGACATTATCTTAGTCGCATCCTACAGCAAAAGCCATGGTCCGCAGAGAGCTTCCAAAGCATCAGAGGGATCTCATTATTAAAAGGTATCAGTCAGGAGAAGGGTACAAAAGAGTTTCCAAGGCATTAGATATACCATAGAACACAGTGAAGGCAGTCATCAAGTGGAGAAAATATGGTGCAACAGTGACGTTACCAAGAACTGGTCTGGGAGGCTGCCTAGAGGCCTACAGCAACATTAAAGGAGCTGCGGAATATCTGGCAAGTACTGGCTATGTGGTACATGTGACAACAGTCTCCTGTATTCTTCATATGTCTGACTATGGGGTAGAGTGGCAAGACGGAAGCCTTTTTTTATGAAGAAAAAAACATCCAAGCCCGGCTAAATTTTAAAAAAAACACATCTGAAGTCTCCCAAAAACATGTGGGAAAATGTGTTGTGGTCTGATGAAACCAAGGTTGAACTTTTTGGCCATATTTCCAAAAGATATGTTTGGCGCAAAAAAACTGCACATCACCAAAAGAACACCATACCCACAGTGAAGCATGGTGGAGGCAGCATCATGGTTTGGGGTGGTTTTTCTTCAGCTGGAACTGGGGCCTTAGTCAAGGTAGAGGGAATTTATGAACAGTTCCAAATACCAGTCAATATTGGCACAAAACCTTCAGGCTTCTGCTAGAAAGCTGAACATGAAGAGGAACTTCACCTTTTTATCATGACAACGATCCAAAGCATACATCCAAATCAACAAAGGAATGGTGTCACCAGAAGAAGATGAAAGTTTTGGAATCACCCAACCAGAGCCCAGACCTGAATCCGATTTGAAAATCTGGGGTGATCTGAAGAGGCCTGTTCACAGGAGATGCGCTCGCAATCTGACAGATTTGGAGTGTTTTTGCAAGGAAGAGTGGGCAAATATTGCCAAGGCAAGAGCTTTCTTTTGGTGGCATTTAATCACCATTGGGTTTTTTTTTTTTTTTTTGCTAATGTTCGGAAAAACATGTTTTTGTTAGTCTCTGTTATACATTTTTGCCAAAATGATTTTTTTATTTCATACACTTTAGGTCAAAATTTTTTCTGCCCCATTTCTTTAGTAAAAATAACCCATATCAGTGTATATTATTTTGTCTGTGTGAAAGTTTATAGAGTGTACAAACTATGGCATATATATTTGCAAATTGATCAATCCTGAAGTAATGACTGCATATCTCATTTCTTGAGGCCCTAAAATGCCAGAGCAGTACAAATGCCCCCCAAATGAAAATATTTGAAATACCTTTGGAAAGTAGACAGTTCAATGTATTTAGTAAGAGGCATGGTAAGGTTTTTGAAGTTGTAATTTTTTTTTCACAGTTTTTTGGAAAATGAAGATGTTAAATAAATTCTTTTCCACAAAGTTGCCATTTTAACAAATTCATTCTTACACACATAATAGGCATACCTATAATTACACCCCAAAAACATTCTGCTATGCCTCCTGAGTATGGGGATACCACATTTTGTGGAACTTTTTTACAAAGTAGATGCATAGAGGGGATCAAAAGCCAAGGAGCACCTTTTGGGCTTTCAAGGAGCATAAATTACACTTCTTCTAATTTCCTGGCTACTTATGACATTTTTGGAGGCCCTGGATTATTGGGGACAGGGGAAACAAAATTGAGCCCATTTTGGAAAGCAAACATGCACAGCGATATCAGAGCAGCCAGTCATTATACCTGATCACCACAGCAGTGCAATGTAACCATAGTGACACTGCACTTGCTTTGGTGACAGTATATAGTGTGTGTGTGTGTTTATATATATATTTTTTTATATATATATATATATATATATATATATATATATATATATACACTGTGTACAGTGCATCCAGAAAGTATTCACAGCCCTTAACTTTTTGCTACTTTTTTTTTTTTATTTTGCAGCCTTATTCGAAATTGGATTAAGTGAATTTTTTCCCTCCAACATTCTGCAAACAATACCCCAAAATGACAATGTGAAAAAAGTTTGTTTTGAAATCTTTGCAATTTTATTAAAAATAAAAAAAAACACGTACAAAAGTATTCACAGCTTTTGCCAGGACACTCAAAATTAAGCTTTGGTGCATCCTGTTCCCACTGATCATCCTTGAGATGTTTCCACTCCTCTTTGATTGGAGTCCACCTGTGGGAAATTCAGTTGATTGGACATGATTCGGAAAGGCATAAACCTGTCTATATAAGGTCCCACAGTTAATGTGCATGTCAGAGCACAAACCAAGCCATGATGTCCAAGGGATTGTCCGTAGATGTCTGAGACAGGATTGTATCAAGGCACAGATCTGGGAAAGGGTACAGAAAAATCTCTGCAGCATGGAGGGTCCCAATGAGCACAGTGGCCTCCATCATCCGAAGAAGTTTGGAACCACCAGGAATTATTATTATTATACAGTATTTATATAGCGCCAAAAGGTATGCTCAGCGCTGTACAGTAGCAAGGGGGACAGAACATGAGACAAGACAGGAACAATACAATACACGAGGGGTTCGAGGGCCCTGCTCTTTCGAGCTTACAATCTAGGAGGGAAGGGAAGGTGGCACAGGAGGAGATGGCTGTGGGGGATGGAGTGGCGGGGGGAGTGGAAGAGGTTCGTTGTTAGGTGAGGTCGGGTGTTAGGTGAGGTTGGGGTAGGCTTCCATGAAGAGGGTTTTCAGGGTGCGCCTGAAGTTGAGGAGGGTAGGCGACAGTCTGGATTGGGGTAGGGAGTTCCAGAGGATGGGGAAGTCCTGGAGAAGTCCTGCAGTCGGGCGTGGGAGGAAGAGACCAGGGAGCTAGAGAGTAGGAGGTCCTGTGAGGAGCGGAGGGCACGGGTAGGGTAGTATTTTTGGGTATCAAATTTGAGAAGGGAATTGCAATAGTCCAGGCGTGAGATGATGAGGGAGTGTACGAGTTGTTTGGTGGTGTCTGGGGTGAGGAATGTGCGTATCTTGGAGATGTTGCGGAGGTGGAGCCTGCAAGATCTAGATAGCAGTTGGATGTGGGGGGTAGGAAGGAGAGGTGGGAGTCCAGGGTGACACCCAGGACTTTTGGCGTGTGGGGTGGGAGAGAGATGGTGGCGTTATTAGTAGTGATGGAGAGGATGGGGGGGGGGCACGGGGTGGGGGGGAAGACCAAGAGCTCGGTTTTGGATAGGTTAAGTTTGAGGAAATGGAGCGACATCCAGTCTGTGTCGTTTAGGAGGTGGGCGATGCGGGCAGAGAGTGAGGGGGTGAGGTGGGGGGTGGAGAGGTAAATTTGGGTGTCGTCGGCATAGAGGTGGTAAATTGAAAAGCCGTGGGAGTGAATAAGTTTGCCAAGGGAGGAGGTATAGATGGAGAAGAGGAGGGGCCCGAGGACAGAGCCTTGGGGGACCCCAACAAAGAGGGGGAGGGAGGGGGAGGTGGCAGTGTTGTAGGTGACGCTGAAGGAGCATTGGGAAAGGTAGGAGGAGAACCAGGAGAGAGCAGCGTCCTTGATGCCAAGGGAGTGCAGTTTGGCAAGGAGGAGAGGGTGGTCAACAGTGTGAGTCGAAGGCCGCGGAGAGGTCAAGGAGCAGGAGGATAGAATAGTGGCCATTGGCTTTGGCGGTTAGCAGGTCGTTGGTGATTTTAAGTAGGGCGGTTTTTTCGGTGGATTGCAGGGGACGGATGCCAGA